GAAAATTTTACCCGTTGATCTTAAATGTCCAGTGTCTTTTAATCTGTCAAAAGAACATCTTTTTATTAAGAATTTTTTAAAGAAATACCTTTTAGAAACGAATGATGCCACTGTTTTAACTAACCACAAGTCTCTTGTCTCTCTTGTGCAGGATCGAGAATCAGTGAGTCCAGTTCCAGGCCTCACACTAGGTGAGGCCAAAGACGTTTGGAGGAACGCAGCCCACCCAGCTCTCCAGAACAGGCTTAAGGACTTGTCGTGGATGGTGGCCCATGAGATCCTCCCGGTCAGGGCGGTTATGCACTCCAGAGGCATGGCCAAAAACCCCACCTGCCCACGGTCCGGATGTGGTTCCCCGGAGACCGTCTACCATCTGCTCTGGGAGTGCGGTGCTGCGCGGGACCTGTGGGCCAAGACCAGCCCCCTGGTTTTCCCGTGCCTGCCGGCGGGTCGGGCCCAGGTGGGATACAGGCTCGCCATCCTGGGGGTGGGTCAGGGCTTGAAGGAGCTAACATCACAGCAATTTACCTCGCTCTGGCTCACCCTCAACCATATCAAGGATGCCATCTGGGCCACCAGAAACCTGCTGGTGGGGAAACGCGTTACGGTGCCCCTCCACGCGTGCGAGCAATTAGTTAGATCTGCGCTGCAGGAGGCGCCGGACGTCGTTATTCGGATGGGGGGGCTGGGGTCACACTAAAGAGGTCCCGGCCACCCCCGACCCTGGCCGCCCGTAGATGCACCCTCACCACACCGGCTACGGGAACAGCGGGCCAGCGGGCCGGAGGAGAGGGGATCTCCGCTGGGCGCTGGAAGCGAGGAGTCTGGGGCCTGTTCTGGAGACCTGGAGTGAATGGACATTCTTGATAGGGACTCACCCTCGATCCTGTACAAGAGATGTTTTATGTGGCATAATTTATTGTTTTAGTGTTTTTTATCTGACATGTTTTATTGTTTTATTCCTATTATTTAAACCATTTACCTTTCTTTTAAAACATACATGGACTTTTTACACAACACACAAACACAAGAAACTTTTAACAGTAAATAATGTGTCCCTTTTAATATGTGTAAAAATGTGATCTAAAAGAAAAAATGTACATGCAAATGGAAATAATGGAATGACACTGTGACAATAAAACTTTTCGAAAGAAAAAATCTGTTCTTATGAGTTTGATATCTGATACGACCCCTATCCGGGGACCATATATTAAATTGATTTTTGGATCAGGGAGATGGAATAGGGGCTAGCTCCGTCCACTCCACGCATCGACCTGGAATTGCAGTACATCTAGGTGCGGTGCACCCCTCACGGGGAATAATAAAGTTCAATATTAGATCTTGTGAATCGAAATTAAATTTAATCTGCACTTATTCATATTTATGATTTTTTATTAACTTTTGTCACGTGTAAAATTAAATATTAGGAAAAATGTACGTGTATTGCACACGAGCATTTGTCGAAGATGTTCGGAAGTTCCTGACACGTCGACGCGTCCGCCATTTTGCAACGGGCAGTGGTGTTGTCTCATCAACGATGCCACAACATTGCCAAGATTTTGGTCGTGTAACCGAGGTGATTTAAATTCAGAAAAAAATGGGATAACCTTATATTGGTGAGAAAGTGTTGATTTTTATATGTATAAACTCAATATTACATGTTTTTTACTGCGGTACATTATTTTTAATATTTTTACTTTATGATACATTTTTAATGTTGTGTTAAGTGTTCTTTTAATATTCTTGTAATGTGTTAGTTTGCTAAATTCATCTAATGAAAGTCTATTTCATATATAGATATTCATGCCATGAATCTATCTGTGGTAGCAGCTCAGTCAACTTGCTCTCACATGTTCACGGACTGTCTTTAACTGTTCCAATATGGCGGACGCCTTATGTTAGCAGCCACGAGATCAAGTGCCCCTCAGAATTACCATTTGAGGAGTCGGTAAGTCGTTTTCTGTAAAAAGAAATGTTTTGATGCAAATCAGCTAGCCTTACTATGTTTAATGCTTTACGGGCATGAGGCTGTTAGCCTGACTTCGTCATACTCATATTCTAGTCAGGTCTTTGATTATGAGGCGTGTCTTAACCGAACCAGGTAAAAAAAAAACCTCTGCACTCATCACAGTCCCACCCACAACCCGAGAGAGCGCTGGTGCCGGAAGTAAATTTCCCATTCATTTCTCCCATTGACATTTTGTAAAATCCATATCTAAAGTGTATTAGAGCATGTCTGAGGATAATCAGCTACGACTGAACTCATAAGCATACAATACATCATTTCAAGTGAAAAAACGAAGAGAAAACCCAAAAGAAGTCGAGGGTACAAGCCTGTGTACATATTCATTTCCGAGCAAAGGAACTACTCCTCCCATAAACCACCGCGCCTCACTGAAGTCGTCTGAAAGCCACCGTGAAAGAGCCTTTTGAGCGACTTCCAAATCTGACGACGGGGACGTGAACTTTTTCTCCAGTGAATTTTCTATAGTGAATGTGCAGGGAAACTCCTTTTCCTCGATTTACTGAAGCAAATGCATTTGCAGCTCAACATGCAAAAACATTGAGTATCTGGCTCGCTCATTAGCTAAGCTGTGGCAACTGCACATCCAAATGGCGCGCGGGCGTCTCAGAAGTGCGACCAATGAACTTAGCCCTACGTCATTACGCGATCTTCAGTCTTCACGTACCTTCGCGGGGTTTCAGACACGTGACACGACTTCCACCAATCAGATGCATCACTGTTGGATTGTGGGATTGTGGGTAATGAAGTACTTATCCTATACATCGCGAATAAAAGGCATTTATCTTAAAACAAGGTTAGTGCCCCATGAACTTTTGCCGTTTATACGAGCACATACAATCGCTTAGTACAGCCGTAGCTGGTTTTAAGTCTACCATGTATGGTTACGTTTTTATGGCTTATATCTCAAATGTCAATGGAGAAATTGTATAGAAATTGTATTTTTACTTCCGGCACCGGCTGTGGGCAGGACTGTGATGCTCTATTGGATAGTCGGTAAACCTACAACCAATCAGAGCAACGCAGTAAGTCAACTCCTTTGCATAGCGCAGTTTTCAACTAATACAACTTACTTATTTTAGAACTAAAATAATGAGTGTTGCTTCTTTTACTTACTCTCCTCCATGAGTGCGACCAAAGGAGAAACCACAATGACCACAGGCTTTTCATTAAGTCCCATCTTCTTAGCGACCATCAGAGCCAGCTGATAAGTTAACTGTTACACTTTTGCGGAATCATGTAAGAAGGACGGCAAAAATATCTTTCCGATTGACAAATGCCTTGATTGCAGTTTCCTGTTCGTCTATTAATTTGAAATTCTGCGCTGTAAATCTATTTTACAACAGACGCGACAGCGGAATCTATACATCTCAATTCTCCAGCTGCAGTCACCTTTGAAGGAAACCAGTTAAGCGCTCTTTGATAACGTGATGATTACGTCACTGGAGATCATCTGTCCATCATCGCATAGTGGGCGGGGTTCGGGCTGGCATCCAGGCTACTAGGGTTTGGGACAGAAGTACAACACGTTGTTTAACTACATACAATAATTTATAAAGATGTAAATTGTATTAAATTAAATGTTTTAAATCCCATTTTAAGGGGTCATCTAAATGTTTGTAATCAAAAACCACCTTTAAAATCGCATTAAACTTTTAACAAAAAATAAATTTAAGTGCCCTATTAAATACGTTTAATTTTTTTCCCCTAAATTTAGTTTTCATTTAATTACTTTAGTATTCCATTTTAATGTTAAAATAAACAGTTAAAAAACACATCGATTATTTTTTAAATCATGAAATAAACAATTGAACAAAAATGTATTAAAAGTTTTACAAAAAACACATTTTAGGACCCTATGAAATATATTTAATATTGTTTTCAGAAATTCTATTGTCATATTTTTTTAATTACAAATTTATTCTTACAAATAATACTGACACATTTACAAAATTCTGCACATTCCCCAAACCTCCAATGTTCTTTTATTAACTATTATTTTAGTGTAACATGATGATGCTTTCAGTGTATTAATAAACTCAAACACATTCAGGTCCTAAAATAAACAGATCCATCAAATAAAAACACATATTTTGTTAAGCATGTATATATTTATTTATTTGTTTGTTGAAATATTTAAAGTTTTGTAATATTTCCCCAGAAAAATGTAAACTTCTCCATATTCACAAAAAGAAAGACATTTCTGTTTATCAATCATTGTCAATAAAATGAAATTCATAATTACAATAATAATCATATTTGAATATAATAATATCTTTATAATAATAATCATAATATGAACATTCAAAACATCACTCCATATTCAGAGATGCTGCACTCTAGAATCAACAAATCTCTCCCGCATTCGAGAATATGTCCATGAGTAAATATATAAATATATACATCCTACGCTCCTGAATCAGGTCAGGGGTCAGGGGTCAGAGGTCAATGCTATGGCTTGTCCGTGTCTATGGCTAAATTAGCGGGTGGTTCCCGTTCGTCATGAACTCATAGCAGTAAGAACTAGTGCTACACGATGGGAAAAGATACACAACCACGATCTGTCGTAGCATAACTGACCCCTGTACACACACCATGGCTGTGTACACACACGTGCTCGTGTTCAGCCAATCAGAGCGTCTAAATGGCGACACGTGCTCGTGCTCAGCCAATCAGAGCGCCTCACTGGCGACACGTGCTCGTGTTCAGCCAATCAGAGCGCCTCACTGCCGACACGTGCTCGTGTTCAGCCAATCAGAGCGTCTAAATGGCGACACGTGCTCGTGTTCAGCCAATCAGAGCGTCTCACTGCCGACACGTGCTCAGCCAATCAGAGCGCCTCACTGCCGACACGTGCTCGTGTTCAGCCAATCAGAGCGTCTCACTGCCGACACGTGCTCAGCCAATCAGAGCGCCTCACTGCCGACACGTGCTCGTGTTCAGCCAATCAGAGCGTCTCACTGCCGACACGTGCTCAGCCAATCAGAGCGCCTCACTGCCGACACGTGCTCGTGTTCAGCCAATCAGAGCGCCTCACTGCCGACACGTGCTCGTGTTCAGCCAATCAGAGCGCCTCACTGGCGACACGTGCTCGTGTTCAGCCAATCAGAGCGTCTCACTGGCGAAACGTGCTCGTGTTCAGCCAATCAGAGCTCGGTATGGGAACTGTAGGCACAGAAACACTGTTCATTATCATCGTTTTTTCATAACTATTATTACCTGAAATGCAGACCAAAGTAATACTTCCAACAGAAAAGGTAAATAAAGACGAAAGTAAGTGACTAAAGGCCCAGCAGCGACTGGCGTATATGAGTATCATCCACCAAACACCAAGAAAAGAGAAAAACTCAACCCACTTAAAATAAGAGAAACTTTCAATCTGGACTCTATGTACAGAAATCAGCAGCCCGTCAGTGTGTGTGTGTGTGTGTGAGAGTGAGTGTGTGTGTGTGAGAGTGTGTGAATGAAGAGCAATCGCTGTTCTCAGACCCAGTGAGCCGCAGACGGTCGACTGAAGAGTTGATGATCAGGACACACTCTCTCTCACACATACACACACTCTCTCTCTCTCTTACACAAACACACACACTCTCTCTCTCTCTCACACACAAACACACGATACTGGAGTATACCATTTCACCGTTTCATGAAAAATATGAATAGGCAACATCTGTAGGGAAGCATCAATATGAAACTAATGAAGACACATCATGCTAAAAATATATAATATATTATATATATAATAATATATTTTTCTCCATCCCGTTTTAATGTTAAAATCAAACATTTTTAATGTAATGTTAAAATGCACGTCTAATTAATTGAAATCATGAAACTTAAACAATTTAACAAAAATGTATTAAAAGTAAAAAAAAAAAAAAACATTTTAGGGTTAGGGTTATGAAATCTATTTAAATTTTTCTGTTTTAACTTTTCTGGATTCCATTTGAATGTTTTTGATAATCAAAAAGCATGTCTAATCAAGTGAATTCATAATAATGTATTATTAATAATGAAATGTTTTATTTTTCAGAAATTCTGCTAGAATTTTTTCTGCATGTAGGATTTAATACAAATGCATTACTAAAAACGGTGGTATTGATCAAATTAAGGCATAAAATATCAACAATTTAATTAAGTTTTTAAAATGTAGTCAAATGAAAGTGCCATTCCTTTAATGTTTTCAGGGCTGCACGACAGGCTTGCAGAACAAAAAAGAAAAAAAACACAAAAGATTGTCTAATAGTCCTTAAAAATAAAGTTTTAAATTATTTATATTATTATTATTATTATTACTTTGAGAAATACATTCTGCTGTACAATAGTAATCGTTTGGTATATAATTTAATCTTTTTTTTCGAATTCTTTAATAATTCCTGTCACAATTTCTTCAAGTTAAACCGAACCTTTATTTTGCCGAGCTGAGAGTCTGTGCACCTGATGACGGACGTGATCAAATGAAGCCGGTGAAACGCGCGTGACTAACCCGACGAGCGACGGGAGCGGCGCACTGGCGTCTGAGAGCGACAGCTTCAGTGATGATGATGCTTTTCATCTGAAAGTCTCCTACGAACAGCTGACGTCTCGTGTTCGGAGATCCACATCCACGTGAGCGAGTGTCCGGCTCCCGCGTGGAGGCTGCGTTTGCCCTGTTGTTCTCAGAGAGCTCTTTAGGCACGGAGAGGAGACAGGAAGGGGCGGGGCTCTGAGCGGCACGGCAGCGTCTGATTGGCTCAGAAAGAATCGAGCCCCTCAATACATCATTTGAAAAAACAAGAGTCATTATTAGGAAGTTGAGGCTGCAACTGATCAAACACACACCACACACACACACACACACACACTCCTGCAGAAGAGAGAGAGAGAGGTGATGGGAAGAGAACGAGTGCTGTCTCTCTCTCTCCGTCTGCGATGATTTTCTTTGTGCTATCGGTGTGATTGTTTCGGCCTCGAGGTGCTGATTGTCGTCCATTTGGCTCAAAAAAGACAAAGACAGCAAGAGAGAGAGAGACACATCTGAGAAATATATATTTATATATCATCTATATACATATATATATTCTCTCAGCGTGTGTTTGAGAGAGAGAGAGAGAGAAGGAGAGAAAGAAAGACTGTAGAGTCGGTCGTCCTGCTCAGGCTCCGCCTCTCTTCTCTCCCAGCCAATCGTCAGACACTCCTGGGTTGAGGTTCAACCAATCACGTGTCCTCTAGTCCTGCCCGGGCCAATCATGTTCCAGAGTGGGCCCCATATATCGGCTGAGGAGAAACAGAGGCCGAGATTCAGCGGCGGATGCTCAATTAGAACCGTTAAAACATTTCTATTCAAATAAAGCTGAAACAACATCAAATATAAACATAGGAAAAGTTGAAGAAAAAAAATTAAATTTACAAATGTTACCTTGGACATAAGTTGAAACTGGGAATCAATAAATAACTAAAATAAAACAAAAATAAAATTAACTTAAATAGCAATATTTAATGAAATAATGAAAATAAACATGAAAGCAAAAATATCAAAATAAAAGCCAATTCAAAATATTAATATAATGATAATAAAACTGAAATAAAATTCAAACACTCATTATACATTCATCACAATGGGAATAATTACGTCAATAATCATCATACAGTTAATTGCATTAAAAGACAGTCATGTGACTAGAATTACGAGGCTGATGATCAGTGAATGAAGAGCGGGTTTGAAGGACACTAATAAATGATGACAGACACGATGAGGAGAAACTGAAGAGTAAATGTGTTTGAGTTGATCATGTCATTCTCCATCAGCCAATCACAGGCCTGACGTGCTGTCACTGTCAGCCAATCACAGGCCAGCGCTGGACACGACACAGTCCCTATTCACTGTATTCACACCAAGAGCCATAACTACAATGATGATTATAAAGTAATTTCAATAATCGCTTTACACATCAAAGCTATAATAAAGACACAGGGGAACGACATCATTGGAATCACCATCGGAACGATTTTTTTTCTGCTGATAAACAATATAAACATTAACAATCACAATCTGTCATGCTTTATATTTACCATTATAGTTATCACTTTATCTATCGAAATAGTTTATTATCATTGCTATAGTTATCATTATAGTTAATTTTATCACTATATGTGTGTATCTGTGCAGTTATTATTATAACCAAAGTTATCGGTATAATTATTATTATCAATATTATCACCGTAGTACGGAGGTACAGAGGCGTATTGCATTCACTTCATTTTCTGAATTAACGAGTTAATTTTTCATGAGAAAAAAACGAGTTAATTCAGAAAAACAGAGCAAAAAAAAAAAATCCATGAAAAATTAACTCGTTAATTCAGAAAAACAGAGCAAAATATTTTTTTCTCATGAAAAATTAACTCATTAATTCAGAAAAACACAGCAAAAAAAAAAATTTCCATGAAAAATTAACTCATTAATTCAGAAAAACAGAGCAAAAACTTTTTTTCTCATGAAAAATTAACTCATTAATTTAGAAAAACAGAGCAATTTTTTTTTCTCATGAAAAATTTACTCGTTAATTCAGAAAAACAGAGTAGATTTTTTTTCTTCAAGTGAATGCAATATGCCTCCGTACTATTGTTATTAGTATAACAGTTATTATTATCACTTTAGTTATCGGTAAAGTTATTATCATTATAGTTAGCGGTATAATCATTATTTTTTTTTTTACTATAATTATAATTATCACTATAGCCATTAGTATCACAGTTATTATTATCACTATAGTTTTCATCCACAGTTGTCGTTCTTGGCTGAAAAAGACTTAACAGTATATTTAATCATATTTAAATGGAAAATCCAATGATACAATTGTTTAAATATGTATTAATCATGCGGTATTATCGAGTGAGATCTTACAAATAAAAATGGGCTTCATCACATTTGATTATTTTCTCTTTATTTGGGATCTTTATGGACTCAAATCAAAAGATAATCTGATTCATATCAAATGAACGGATCAGTGTAACATTACGAATCACTAAAGACTCAGAAGAGTCAAAGTGATATTAGATTCACACTGCCTTCATGATCAGTCATGGTTCATTCCTCACAGCCCTGAGCTCACACACACACACACACACACACTCGTGGAGAGACATGAAGGTTACAGTGTGTGTGACAAACCTGTTCTGTGAACAATCTGGTTTTGAGGTCAGGCATTCCACTCCCTCTCAGCTCATCCTCTACCGCCATCAGCCTGCAACACACACACACACACACACACACACATTCCCAGGATGCTCTGCTGCGTCAGTGAGGCGTGTGTGTGTGTGTGCGGTCTGACCTGTTGATGATGCCCTTGATCTGCGAGTCCTTCTGCGCCTGCTGCTGCCGGAGCCTCCTCTCGCTGTCGTCCAGCCGGCTCTGGTACTGCAGCAGGATCTTACTGGTCTGATGCTCCTGCGACTGCAGCCGACGCTCGTACTCCTCCAGCTTCCTGTGTGACATCAGCAGCCGCTCCTTCAGCGAGTGGATCTCCTCCTCGTACTCGCGCACCTGCGTGCCCACACACACACACACACACACCGTTCTGTCACTCACTCATCTCACAATGCAAATCTTGCCTTTTCGTTGTATAAATGGACTCCTCTCGGTCCACACACACACACACACACACTCGGGTGAGTACTGACCCGGTCCAGGCGGGACTCGTCCATGCTCTTGGAGTGCTCCTTCAGCTTGAACTCCTCTCGGTCCACACGCAGGCTCTCGATGTCCGCGGAGAGGTGAGGCATGTTGGACACCCAGGCCACCGTACGCTCCGACGCAGCAGTGGGGGGGTTGAGCGTAGACGGAGACTTCGAGCCCTGAACACACACACACACACACACACACACAAAATAAAGTGTAACCAGATTATTTAATATTTCTGGAAGAGTCTCTTCTGCTCATCAAAGCTGCATTTATTTTATTTACAGTAAAATATTTTTTTAAATAGTAAATCATCTGTTTTCTATGTAAATACTAGGGCTGTCAAACGATTAATCGCATCCAAAATAAAAGTTTGTGTTTACATAATATATGTGGGTGCATTGTGTATAATTATTTTGTATATAGAAATACACACACATGCATGTATATATTTAAGATATATTTTCATGTATATACTGTATATAGATTTATATAATTTATATATTATATATAAATATTTTACATATACATAATATTTTTTTCTTAAATATATACATGCATGTGTGCTTGTTTATATATATACAAAATAATTATACACAATACACCCACATATATTATGTAAACACAAACTTTTATTTTGGATGCGATTAATCGTTTGACAGCCCTAGTAAATATTATAGTAAAGTGTAATTTATTCCTGAATTCATCATCATTACTCCAGTCTTCAGTGTCACATGATCCTTCATAAATCACTCTTATATGATGATTCGACAGCACGGACACGTAACGAGACGTTCGTACCTGTTTGTTCGCGCCTGGCTTGAGCAGATGCTGCTGGTTGGTTTGCTGCGAGGCTTTTGCTGATTGGCCGCTCGGTGTGTTCTCTGCGCTGTCATTGGCTCCGCCCTGAGGGGCGGGGCTCTCCGCAGCCGTGCTGGACTGATGCGGCAGCCCGGGGGCGGGGCTATCTTTGACGGACAGCTGTTGCCTGGGCAACTGCCTCCCACCGTAGCTGGACTCGGGCGACTGCAGCAGGTTCCCGCTCTGGGGGCGTGTCTTCGGGGGGGTGGAGTTAGCGGCCGAGCTGACGGACAGCTGGTGGGGGGGCTGAGGCTTCATGCGCTGAGGAGGGGGCGGGCCCATGGAGGCCTGGCGGGCGGGGTGAATGGTGGTTGGGGGCGTGGCCAGAGAGGCGGGCGTGCCGGTGCCCGTTGCTGTCTGTGCGGCGATGCCCATCAGAACCTGCTGCTGGAGATTCTCCTGACACACACACACACAGAGAGAGAGAGAGAGATTTCAAAAGCAGTATTAGTAGAGTTGGGAATCAAAAATCTATTCCAATTCTGGAATTGAATACTTGAGGAAAAAAAATCGGAAATCGGATCCTTTAAATTTCGATTCCAATAGTGGAATCAATATTGCGTAACTAATTGTGTTTGTTAGTTATTTTTTTAGAAAAGTAACGCCTTATAATGTTGCACTACTCCCTTAAAATGTAAATAACTGAGTTCATTTTGCGTTACTTTTTTTAACGCAAAACGCAATTATAAAAACTAGTAAGTGACGCAAATAGTTACTTTTTAAGGGAGTAACGCAATATTGTAATGCATCACTAACTTCCCCCAACACCGCCTACTGGTGACGTCACGGGCATATTTGTTAGCAGTCTACGATTAGCACAGGTGTGTGGCGCTGAACTTTACCTGCACCTGCAGCGACAGCTGTCTGCGCGCGTAGTCGGCCTGATTGTGCCGCGTGAAGTCGTCGCTGTAGCTGTGCGAGTGCACGATGTTGGGCTGCACCAGACTGTTCTGGTTCCTCAGGGCCGACAGATCCTCGCTGCGAGAGAACCCGCTGTGCCCGAACGACGGCACGCCGTAGCCCACGTGCCCGTTCTCCGGCTCGGGCGCTAGCAGCAGCGGCGGCGGGGCGGCGGGCCCGTGTGGCGGCGTGTGGTACTGCGGCCCGTCCGACGCCAGGTGGAACAGCGGGTTCTGGAAGGACAGAGGCACGTTCATGGCGGCCGCTTGCTGCTGCTGCTGCTGAGACAGCGAGTCCGTCGTCAGGCCCGAGTGGCTGAGACGCAGCCCCCCCGACATGCTGGAGCCGCCCGAGCCCGCCGACACGCGTCCTCCCGCCCTGAGGGGGGCGCCACCCAGCGGACCGAACCCCAGGCCCGCCAGGGAGCCCTGAGACGAGTTCAGCAGGTCGTTCACCGAGTGCAGGTTCGACACGCTGTTGATGCGCGAATCCTGCAGGTCCATCATAGAAACACTCTTATTCACACTGAGAACCTGACGAGACACACACGAGACCAGACCGTTTGAGAACGAGACGCGCTGTTACTCAAGCTTCAGGACTCTTAAAATCTACAGCAGATTAGAACGACAATATACAGTCGTCGACACCTAAAGTGGATCAGAAAAGTTAATCAGAGTTGTCCTAAGACAAGAACGGGTCGTGTACACCTGGAGCTGCGTGTGCTGAACTCTAACTCCAGCCGAGCCGCTCACGTGGACCAAACTCTAGTTCGTCTACACACTTATCCCATGACTTTAACCACAACCTGCACAACGCTGTGGATTTACAGCACTTTGATCAAATGTTAACACACTGCTGATAAAACTGTGAACCACACATTCAACACAGAATACATTTCAGCCTTGTGCCTTTCACACACTGCCGAGTGCACTTCAGCTGGGCGTCCGACACCTGTGCCCTGATGTGGAGAGAGAGCAGGACCAGCCCCTCAGTTATTTGTTCAAATTACAGTATGTACTTTTAATTTCTACAGACTATTGAAGCAAACTGCTCATTTTCATTTACCTTAAAGAATTGTTGTGTTCTAAAAATTTAAATAAATCGGGTTCATTCATTGAAGAAAATGTTACTTTGTATCAAGCCACTGAAATTGTTCAAACTGTAAAGATGAAAAGTGTGTATTTACTGTATTGGTGTTTGATGCTCAGTGTGTTCTGAAGTG